AAAAAATTATTTAGTCTTTTTTCATCGTTTGTTTGTTTTTCGACCCATTTTCCTACGAGTTTAGCGCCGATTAGTTCTGAAACCACTTTGAACTGATTGGCGTTATCCGATAGTATCTTTTTGGGACATCCTCGATTGGCAATGAAACGTCTTAAACAATGGAGAAATTCTAGCGCTGACAGCTCCAGTGCTATTTCAAGATGGACTGCCCTAGTCGTGAAACATGTAAAAAGAACAATCCAAAATTTGGCCTTTCCATTCTCAATTTTATATAAAGAAGGACCTAAATAGTCAACGCCAATTGCCTCAAACGCTCTAGATTTAATTAACCTTTCCTTAGGCAATCCTGGCATTGTTGGGAGTGCGAATTTCGGTCCATTTATTCTTTGACACTTTTTACAATTCCTTACTACTTTCTTGGCCTCTCTTCTGGCGCACGGTGACCAATATTTAATTAAGAAATTTCCTAAAACGGCGTCCACGCCTGAATGTAAAAGCTCAATGTGTAATTTATCCATGATCAATTTTACAGCAGGGTGACCCTTTGGCAATATTATAGGGTTTTTAAATCCATCAGACATTTCGCTTTTGCCTATTCTAGAATTCAACCGAAAAATTCCATCTTTATCTGTAATAATTATTGTATTCCTATTTATTAAATTTTTGTCAATTCCCTTTTGTATTAATTTTAGTAAAAATATTTCCACTCTTTTAATGTAAGCACCTGCAGGTCTTTTGTTTTCGCTTATTGATTTAATAAATTCGCTCTTAATTTTCATTTTACATTTACTCAACCATATTCGAGCGAAGAGAGAGACAATTAAAATAATTTTTAAAATTTTATTCCAGCTATTCCATTTATTAAAGTCAATAAATTTATTACATTCTTTACTATTTATTTGATTAATTTCAAAATTTTCTTCAAAATTATTTTCCCTTTCAATATTTTCAACAACAAAATTTAACTCGTCAGGCCATAAATTTTTAGAATTTTTCAAAAATTCAGGTCCTGACCACCATAATAAATTAGTGCTTAGTTCAACAGGTGTACATCCGCGTGTTGCAATGTCCGCAGGATTGCACTCTGTTGGAATATAGCCAAAATTCAAATCACTATGACTTCTAATTTCTTTAATTCTATTTTCAACAAATTTTTCTCCTTTATAATTTTCTTTAATCCAATATAAAACAGGTTTGGAATCACACCAAAGATATTTTTGGGAAATTTTTAAACCAATTTGTTTTGAAACAAAATTTAAAGCTCTAGTAGCAATTAGTACCCCTAACAATTCCATTCGTGGTATACTAACGCTCATCTTTTTTGGTTTGAGTCTATTCCGGGCATACAAAATATTAACCATAATTTCTTTATTAGTGATACACCTCATATAAACACAAGAAGCGTATGCGTCTTTGGATGCATCACAAAACACGTGTAATTGATATTCACCGTTTTTATCTATTATTTTTCTTTCAATTTCAATAGGCGAAACTTTCCATGTTTCGATGATTTCACACCATTTGTTGGCTTCTTCTTCGATTAAAATGCTATCCCATTCTCGCTGTTTTTCCCATAAAGACTGGAAAAACAATTTCGCGGATAATAAACTCGGGGAAGCAAATCCTAGCGGGTCAAATACACTAGCTAATTGTTTCAGTACTAACCTTTTATTTATCTTTTTATTATTCTCAAACACAGGAAAACCAACTGAAAGTTTGTCAGTTTCAATATTCCATGGAATTCCTAGAATTTTTGACTTACTTTTTTCTAAACGATCTTCCATAGGCAATTCTTCATTAAATTCTAAACAATTCGAAATGAACTCTCGAAGGTTCATTTGGGCTGTTTTAAAGATATTTTTCAATTTAATATAAGCCTCTAATGCTTCCTCTTTTGTATCGACACCTATCAATATATTATCAACATATGAATTATTTTTAAGCCTCTGTGCTATTGGGTCATCCATTGACTCTAAGTGATGCCTAACTGTGGCAGATAAAAGAAACGGGCTTGATATTACACCGAAAGGGACCTTTGAAAATCGTAAATATTTAATGTTCTCTGAAGTTATAGGCTTTCTTACGTCCTTTAGCCATATTAGTTTTAAAACCTCTCGATCTTCTGGATCAAGCTCTAAACAATGAAACGCTTTTTCAATATCTGCCCAAATGGCAATTTCTGGAAGCCTAAATCTAATTAACATTCCAGCTAATTCTGGCATTATTATTGGACCGCGATATAACAATTCATTTAAGCTTTTTCCTCCTCTTATTTTGGCAGACGCGTCGTACACTATTCTCACTTTTTTCGTAGTGATGACAGGATGGTGAGGGAGGAAATGCTCTATTGATCCTTTGTTTCGATCAGCATTTTCTAAAACTCCTCTTTTTATGTCATTTTCAATTATTTTCTCGTATTCAAGCATTAAATCTGGGTTCTTTTTAAGTCTTTCAATTAAACCCACAAAACGCCTATAGGCTAAAGAAAAATTGGAAGGTAAATTTTCTCTTTCTTCTTTCCATGGCCATTTTACAATATATCGACCATTTGGAGAACGCTTTATAGTCTTTTTAAAAAAATCCATTGCAACCTGATCATCTTTGGTTGTCGGGTCATCCTTAACTCCTATGGTTTCCAAACTCCAAAAATTATTTAATTTTTCATCAGAGTCTATATTTAATATTGGCACACCTTTATTATTTTTCTTTTTTGATAAAATTCCATTTAATTCGCCTTCAAGCTCTCCACAAATAATTGTACCGACAGAAGTGTCAACCTTAAACAAACTATCTGATAACGGTACCAAACTGCGGAAAAATTTCCAAAAGTGCTTTATTCCTATTAAAACGTCGGGCACTTTTTCAGAAGTTCGAATTTGACCATTTTCTAAATTAGCACACTTTATATTTGGCATTATTTCTTTTTTAATTTTATATGCAATAATTTCTTCTCTACTTCCATCTTCGAGAATAATTTCAAATAAAAACTTTGCTGATTTAATTCTTATAGGTTCTTTATGAGAAAACGGGATAATTCCTAGTTCCTTTTCTCCTATCTTTTTTAAATTCAATTCTTTCACTTTCTCTTCGGTAATAAAATTAATAGTGGCTCCTGTATCAAATAAGCCAACCGAATTGCACTTTTTATTAATTACTGAATTGGATAAAACCATATTACTTTGCATTAATGCAACTTCCTTCGGTTTTTCTACTATAGTAAGTAGATTTTCCGAAGTCTCTACTTGATTTACCTGCTCAACTTTTTTAAATTCTTTTCCATTTATTACCTTTTTATATAAATTTGGACAGATCAATTTATTATGACGTCCTCTACAAATATTGCACTCAATTCTAGTGACACAGTTCGTCACTGTATGGCCCTTCCTTAAGCAAAGCAAACATCGATTTTGCTCTGTAAGCATTTTTGTCCTAATATATATCGCTTTCACTTTTTCGCATCTTTCTGCGTGGTGAGCTCCATGACAAAAATAGCAAGAAATTTCAAACTTTCTATTGTTTCTTGCTTTATAATCACCTGATTGTACAGTAAACACACGATCAAAATTTTCTCTTTTAAAATTAGCTCGCTTCTGATTAAAACTTCTATTATTATTCCAATTGTTCCCAACCCTCTGTTGGTTATAATTAATATTTTTAGAAAATGTTTGAACGCACCTTTGCGCTTCTTCTCTAAGAGCTACTATCTCTTCTAACCCTTTTCTTAATTCATCAACATTCCAAGTCGCTCTTGCTTCTTTTTCCTTTTTTAATAATTCTAAAACAATATTTTTTGGCAACTTATTTTTTATTGCCATCATAACTATAGACTCATCTTCAACTCTCCCCATTGCTGTAAGGGATCTACAAATCCTTTCAACTTCCTCAAGGTACGAACGAAGAGAAAAAACCGATTCATTTGCCATAGGAAGGCTTATTAATTCAGCGTGGAGAGTATCCCTTATTGCTTTTTCATTCCCAAACTGTCTTTTTAATGCATCCTTAAGAGGTTCATAATGTTCGGCAATCGGCCGATAACCCAAAACTGCTCTTTTGGCCTTACCTCTAAGGCACTGAATTAAATAATGTGCTTTTAGCCCCGGGTCCATCTCCAGGCTATCTACAGTTCTACTAAAAGATTGCCAAAATTCTGGCCAAACTAGAGGGTCTCCATAAAACTCTGCCAACCTAGTCCTAGGCAAATGCGCAGGAATATTATACTCATTCCTACGAAATAAATTCTCATTTAACGGAGTCTGCCCATCATTTATTGGAGCTTCTGGCCTCCTTGATTGGTTGGCTCTATTTTGTCCAACTCCCAATTCTACAGAAAGATCGGACTGAGTACTGCCGTCTTCTGACTCTGTCAACAAAATCTCAATATCCGCAATCATTTCATGCGCATTTTCTATCCATTCCGCATAATGGTGCTCTAATGGCGCAAAATTTGCTAAAACCTGTTCCTCGGCTTGTCTTTCATTAGCCGGGAGTCCTCTAATATAATCCTGCCATTGATTGGCCCTTTCTTCGAGACGATTAACTAGACGTCGCAATTTTACTAACCTTGTCCTTAACATTTCCATACCTTCAACTGTGCGCTCTTGGGCGTCCAAAACGGGGCGAATTTCCTCAATATGTTCACGCAATCGCGTTATAGCCGGAGTCATAGCTTGACGAATAGTTCCGGACATTATTATTCTTGTACTAAAAAAATATAAACCTCAAAAGTTATATCTGATTGTTCTTCAAACAATCAAAAAAAAAAAAAATTTTATTCAAACAAATTTTCAACTTCAAATAAATTCAAATTTATTGTTTTCCTCAAACAATATTATATAAACACAATTATGGTCGTGGCACCATATGAAAACCAAAATATTAAAATTAATTATAAGGTTTTCCTTCCTATATATTTTCTAGGGTAATTTCTCTAAAGCCCCTTATTTTAACTCTCAAATTTATTTAACTCTTTATTTCCACAATAAAAAATATTTATTTCCAAATTTCGAATATTCAAAAGCGACTGAAGAATAATGAAAAATTTGACGATTTAAAAAGGGTGAAATTTGCGTGGAAAAAAAATATATTAATCATAAAAATATATTTTATTTATTTTATTCTCCGCCCAAAAAATTCTTTTCAATTTCTTTCCAAACATTTTCTTTCTGTTGGAAACAATAACAACTACAGGGCAAGAATCTACTCAAACAACTGTAGAGTATGCTGAGAATTCTAGTTTGGCAGAAATAACTGTTACAGTAAATATATTTAGTATTTATTTTAAAACTTTAAAAATAACAGCAAGAAGAAAGTCCAAATAATAAATCTTTTCAAAAAAATGAAGAGCAAATCCAGGCTGAGGAAAATAATAATATTCCAAAAAGGGATGTTTACCTTGAGGAAAATGAATGTATGGTTGTACCAGAGGGAGAAGCAAATTTTAAAGCTTCAAACAATGGTAAATCAATCTACGCAGTGAATGGAAAGGTAATTAAAATGGCAGTTGAATCCCCTTTAAATAATTTTTGGATCAGATTTATTTTTAATTCAATAAATTAAAAAAATATAAATTTATAAATAGATTATTGTTAATGAGGGAATAACTGATGAATTTGGAATTAAAAATTTGGAAAATTTGGCTGAAGTAAAGTGTGGTGTTAACAATTATGAGTTTATATTAAATATTATTAAGAATTTCTAAATATTTTAAACTAAATTTTAGGCAATTTTCTTATTGTGCCAAAGTTAAATTTTTTAATTCTGATGAGAAGAAAACTTTCAATAAAGAATTGTTTAAACCAAACAATCCAACGAATATTAATGAATATCTCAAGAATTATATGCAAGGTAATGTTTAAATTAAAGAGGGGAACAAAGTTATTAGGTAAGATAAGTAAAATATATCTGGATAAATAACTTTATTAGGAAAGAAATAATAAGAAATTAAAGATTAAAATAATTCCCCGACTCTAATTCTTAATAAAAATTTAATTTAAAAAATCCTCAGATTTTGCTCTCGTTTTGATTGAAGGTTGTGTTTTATGTGAAGACAAAACTAAACCAATTAACATATTATTTTATCAAAATCATAAAGAAGTAATTAAAATTGTTAGATTTTTAAGTTATTCTAACTTTTATAGGGGCCAATTAAGCCTGTTTGTGCAGATGGTCAAGTAACAATGATTAGGTCAAAATAATTATTTTATTAAAGTACTATATCTCTCTCCCCTCCTTTCAAGTAATTTTACTTTTAACTTAAATAATTATAATAATGGTGGATTTATTACTGGTGGCATTTTAAATGAGCGGTTAATATTTAAATAAAAATTTAAAAAATGATATTAAAGTCTTTGTCCTACACGAAAAACAATAAATGATGAAATTCAATTTGTACCGCTCAGGTCAATTAAGATTATTCAGAAACAAAATTTTTAAATAAATTTATGAACATCAAATATGGCTCAAAAAATTTAAAAATTTATCCAAAATTATATCCTAAACTAATTCCGATTGTTTAAAATTTTTAAAGGAAAATATCAAAATTTTTAATTTTTTTTGGAATATCTGTATTCTCGAATTTATATTCTCGAATCTTTAAATATATTTAGCTATACCCACAAGTTCAGCATTATTGTTGAGCATAGCTGTAATGGAATGTCAAATACGGTAATATTTTTAATTCAATTTTCGTAAAAATTTATTTTACTTTTAAGCGTAAAATTTATTTTGCAAAAGAAATTGACTTTAAAAATGTGGAAAATCATGTTTTTGAAGTAATATTTTAAAATATTTTTTAAAAATTATTTTTTAAATTTTATATTTAGTTACGCGGATTATTAATTAATTTAACTAATGACAAACAAGACATGGAAGAAATATTTGATTGGGATTGGGAAAATAAAAATAAAGGTTTAGGGTATAATTACTACACTGCTTTATCTCCGGCTGAATTAAAGAAGTTGAAAAAAGAAAAAGAATTCAATAAACCTAATCTAACAGTTACATATGTAAATAATATTTAAATAAATAGAGGGATATAATAATTCTTTTTAATTCCCTATATTATCAATCCCCAAAAGTTTCTGTTATTCCCCTTTTCGTTGCTCTAAAATCCCCGAAAGAATCTTGTTAAGTAAAATTTAAAAAATTTAATTTAAGTTAGAATCAATGCAGGAACATTTATCTGAAAATAATGAAGAAGAAAATATGGAAAATAAGGAAGTTTTTAACGAAATTAAAAATAAAATGATTGAGGATAATATGGAAGAAGAAAATGGGGAGAAGGATGGAGAGAATATTAAACTGGAAAAAAGTAATACAATGAAAACGGCAACTGAAGAGAAAGAGGAAGAAGAATCTCATGAGGAGTGAAAAATGGTGTTTAACTAATATTTTATTTTTATAATTTTTTTGTTTGTCAAAAATTCTTTTAAATAATTTATGTAATCAAAAATTTGATACATAATACAAAATTTTTTGTCATCCTCTAAAATAATTTATAATTTTCTTATAATTGGCTCGAGTTTATTAAAATAAAGTTACTGAAATTCTTAAATTGAGATGTTTGTTTTGTATAACTATAAAAAGTATTGGGAATTATTTGAATTGTGAATAATGCCAGGATCAATTAAAGTGAAAAAAGTCAATTAAACATTTATATAATCAAATTTATTATTAATATAAATTTAAAGAATTACATCTTTATTTTTATCAAAACAATTCTTTTTACTATTTGAATTACTCCTTTTAATGCTAACATTTCTTCTTTTAATTCCCACAATTTGTATTTTTGTTGATTGCTTCTTTTCTATTGTTTGTCGAAGAATTAAAGGAAGGCAATGAATACATTTAATAAATATTTCGTTAAATTCAGAACGAAAATTTGTATTTAAAAATCCGTAAAGGAAAGGGTTTACACAAATTGATAAAATTGAAATCTTTAAAATGAATGAAAATAAATAAAAAATATTATTTTTGTAATTACCAATTTACATGCTTGATCAACTCTTTCCATTGTTGGGGAACCTCCTTCCTATAATTTTTTAAACATTAATTCTAAATATATGGATGGAGATTTAAATATTTATTTCCGAAATCAAAAATCAGAGAGGAGTAGTATTTTAAGGATGATATTTAAAAACTTCTTCCTCACCTTCTGCAACTTATAAAAAATTATTGGGAATTTGGGGGTAATCTTTACTAGTTATTCTGATAAATAATTTTTTTCAAATAAATATTTACCATTAAATCAAGATCAATCAGAACAGAAATTAAAGTAAATGGGAACCACAAAAATGCATAGGACCCAGCCATAGCAATTAAAAGGGATGTTGTTTTATTTCTTCTTTTCTGTTGATTGTTAATTAAAGCCCCTCCAGAACTTTTTCTTAAATTATTTGTAGTAGAAGAAGCAACTGCTACTCCAGATACAAGACTGCCAGACTAAAAAAATTAATTTAAAAAATTAATTAAAAACTTCTTCAAAACTACTCACTTTTGTACTTTTTGCCCCTTTAAGTTGTCCATCTGAATTTTCCATAAGTTTTTCTGCACAACTTAAAGACTCATTATCTGATGTTCGACGATCCATCTTTTTTTAAAATTTATTTAAATATTTTTATTTTTAATCAAAAACCTTTTCAACTCTATTTTGTTGCGTTGCAGAAACAGAAACTTTAGGTAAACGATTATTCATATTTTTTGAATTCTTTTCCAAAAATCGTGTTAATTTAAGATTAAAAATTAAAAGAACAATGAGAGGGACAGCGTAAAGCATCAATGCTTGCATTAATGACATTCCTAACTAAAAAAGAGAATTTTAATAAAAAATATTTTAATAATTTAATTCTGCAATGAAATTATGATTGAGGAAAGGATTTCTTTTAACTGTTAATTTTTTAAAAATTTTATTCTAAAAAATAGGCTGTAAAGATATAAAATCAACAACAATAAACTTGCCTGAACCATCCTTTCATTAACTATCCCCTCATCATAATGAATAAAAGTTCCATGTCCCCCAACAGTATCACTCGTAGTTGTTAAACGGCATTGTCTCCAACCATAGCTTTTTAATTCTACAGAACTTGAATTTCCTTTTGATTTTAAACTTTCCTCTTTTAATACATAAACATCCTATAGATAGATAATTATTTTTTTATAAATATTTTTTTAATTAATTACTTTAAATACATAAAGCATGTTGATTTGATAATAAATGAGTAAAGGGAACGAAAGTAGAAGAGAAAGAACCTAAAATAAAATTAAAATTTTAATTAATATAATCAAAAAATATATTTTTGAGATAAAAAAAGAATTTAGTTTAATTTAAAAATCCAAACCCAAATAAGGACGGAGATTAAGAGTGCCCGAAAACAATTTCCTGATCTACTTGAAGGGCCGGCTACTTTAATTGAACGTACAGAATAATAACGATCAATGGCCATTACCTTAAATAAATAAATATTTAATTTAAAAAAATATTTTTTTATTTTAATTTTCAATCAAACTATTTCCGGTTAACAAATTAATGAATAATTAAAAAATCAGTTTTATCTTTTGTCTAAATCAATTTAGCTAGAGTTATTTCAAAAAATATATACATACATCTAAATAATTAAATTAATTTTCTAACAGAAATTAAATGAGAAAAGTGACAAAAAAAATAAATTTTAAACGTTTGAATTTTTTATAAGCTTAGAGAGATGAATCATTAAAAATAACAGAAAAAATAGTAATTTAAACTAAGTACATATTTAATATAAAACTGTCTAATCTCTATTAAAATTTTCAGTTTTAGTATCAAAATTTATTTTTTAATTAACGATGAACAACAAGTTGTTTTTCCTAACAACTTTAAGGTTTGCTTAAATTAATTTTAAAAAATAAAGAAAATTTTGAGTATTTTAGTATTTTTGTCTTTTTGTTTGATAAAGGTTCCGCAAAGGTTCCTTTGCGGGCTAAGAGGGGAGATGAACTTGAACCAACAAACAACGAAACTCTGCCAACATCGACGACTGAGGAGGAAATATCTGCCAACAACTCAACGACTACTGAAGGAAATGAGGATGGAAATGAAGAGGAAAAGGCAAAGTTTTTTTTAATTTTTAATTAGTTTAGAAATTTTTTTTTAAATTTTCATTTAATTTTTAAAAATTTGAGAGCGAGGATGATCTAGACGAAGAAGATTTACCACATGTTTCGCATTCAACGGACACAACAACAACTTCTTTGGATGATTATTATGGTGAAAATATGCATGCTGAAGAGACTCCAAACGAAACTGATAATAAAAATATTACTAAAGATAGTGATGGTGAAAATAAATTCAATGAAAGTGTTGATTTTGATGGAAAAAATTGCGTCTTAGCAGAGGGGAAAGGAATAGCTTTCAAAATAAAAAATGGTGAATTAGAATATGCAACTAATGGATCGGTAAAATAAAATATTTATACCCCCATTTTGGTTGCTATTTTTCTTTTGGATAAGGATAAATAGATACTGAAAATATAAACAAAATATAGGGATGTTTACAAAAAATTATTAATTAATTTTAAAAATATTTAAATAATTTAAAGATAAAGGTTAGAGAAACCAAAGATAAAGAAATTATCAACTTTTCAATGGTAAATATTGAAAATTTGTCCACTAAAATATGCGGTATCGGAAATTATGAGTAAGTCTAAAAAAAAGCTTCAAATAAATTCTACAAAAATTTCTTTTTATAAAGGCAATTCTCCTATTGTGCCCGATTAAAATTTTTTGGTTCTAAAGGAATTGATATCGTCAAAAACAGTACGTTATTTGAAAGGAACAACCCAAAAAGTATTTCGGAATATGAAAAAAATTATATGCAAGGTTAAAAATGATGAAATATTTGAGGAAATTTTCTTTAAAAAATTAGATATGGCCCTTGTAATGATTGAAGGTTGTGTAATTTGTGGAAATTCAAGTAATCAGACAATTACTTTAAAATTCATTCAATTACATCCAAAGGTAATGAATTTTTGAGAAATAGCTAAAGTAAAGAACCCTTTCACAAAATTTATAATTAAGGGACCGATTGAAAATGTTTGCCCAGAAATTAATGAAAATATCAGGTTTAAAAAAAAAATTAATTTGAATAGACTACAATTTTAAGCACACTTGATCTCGACTTGACAAAATATAAAAATGGCTTTATTGTTGGCGGTATAGTTAGCGATCGGTGGGAAAAATTAGAAATACATACTATTTTTTTATTATTTCTTTAAAGTCTCTGTCCTTCGCGTAAATCTTTCAATGATGAAATTGAAATTGCGCCCCTTACGTAATTTTAAATTAAGATATATTTTTTTATCATTCCAATTTTAGATATAAACATAAATTCAAAATTGAGATTGAACATAGCTGTGAAGGAGAAAAAACTAAAGTATGATTTAAAAGTTTGAAAAATCAAGGGGCAAATTATCAAGAAAATAGTCTTGTATGAAAATAATCGAAACTTAATTTTTGTTCGTTCTGAGTTTTTAACGATCTTGTGGATATCTAAAATTATTAATATTTATTTATGCAACTAATTTTTTTAATTTTAGCATGTCATCAACTTTGCAAGTGAAATAGACATAAAGAATTTGACATATCATGTCTTTGAAGTATTTTATTTTTTAATGATTTAAATTATCAAAATTTTGTAGATGAGAGGCTTAACTATTAATTTAACTGGAAATTCAACAGAAGAGACATACGATTGGGAAAAGACTGTGTATGACTATTTTATTCCAAAAAAAGTTGAGGAATTGAAAACGACAACAGAATTAGTGCCAATTAACAATACAACAGAAGCAACCAATATGACTACAACAAGGAAAACAGTACTTCCTCCAAATGGGGATGGTTTCGTTGAAATATATGATGAAGAAAAAGAGGGTGAGAAGAAAAAAGAAGAGAAGGAAGAAGACAAGGAGGATGAAATTAAGCAGGGAGAGGAAAATGTTGCGGAAGGGGTCTATTTTGAAGAGACTACTCATTCAAATGATGAAGGCAAAAAAGATGAAGAAAATAAGAATGATGAAATGAGTACAAGTAAACCGGAAGAAGTAAGTACCAAAATTGAAGAAATTAATGAAGAGAAGGAGAATAAAGAAGAGAAGGAAGAAATTAATGAGAAGCTTGAGGAGAAGCATAATGAAGAAAAGGAGGAGGGAGAGAATGAAATTAAAGAAGAGGAAGGAAAAAATGGTAATGAAAGTAAGGATGAAATAATAAATAAAGGATATGAAGAAGAAAATGAGGATGAGGAGAAAAAGAATCTTAAAGAAAATGAAGGAGAAAATTAATAATTTTAATAAAAAATTGTTTGTTAATTATTGTAACATTTTTATTTATTTTTATGTAAATTTAAAGAATTATAAAATTTTTGATTTTAAAAATAATTTCTTTTAAAAAATATTTTAAAAAAATCCCTACAGAAATAGTTAATGTAGAACAATAAATATTTGAGCCCGGTAAAGCATTTGCAAATTTACAGAAAAAATTGGAATAAGGAAAATCAAAATCAATGGAGGGAAGCCAAAGGAATGGAACCTTTAAATAAATAAATAATTAATTAAATTTAAAATATATTTACAGTAGTTAATGCCAACATTAAATTAGATAAAGCTAAATTAACAATTAAAACATTTCTTGCTGTTCGCATTGCTGGTTTTCTAACAACGGCCAAAATTACCTTTGAAAATAAAAATGTATTAAATTACTAATTGAATTAGAATTAAGTAGGTGATTTTGGGAGGTAAATAAAAAAATAAAAGGAAATTTTGAAAATTTGACTTTTCGAAATAATTATTTCGTTTATAATTTTTTCTCAATATTTATTAATTTTAAGCCCATTTAGATACCAATTTTTTAATACTGTTTCAAATATTTCTTAAAATATTTCTTAACAAACCAATCCATTTCCAATTATTGCACAAATCGAAATTAAAACATAAAAAGAAGTATAAACTGCAGTTTCCCAAATATAATAACGTCGAAGGTGTGCAGTTAATTTATGAAAAAATGACTTTAAAAAATTAATTTTTAAATTAAAAAATAATTATTCTCAAACTTTTAAGCAATTATCATCAAAGGGAAATGTTTCCCAATTATTTGTGTCGTTAGGATTAACTGCTCTAGGACATTGACGGTTAATATCTTCAACAGAAAGAAACATCTAAAAAATTTATGAAGAATAAATAAATTATCCCTAAATAAATAGTGGTTTGTGTAAAATTCAAGAAAAAATTGTATGTCTACATACAGTCGTGGAAAAAAGTATGGAAGCGCTAGAAAATTTTCTCTTAATTTTTAATTTTTCATTCAAAAAATACGTTCTATATACCAATCGAAAGCTCTATTCGTATCTCAGTTGACATGTTTCTGCATTTTTCATGAAAATGAAAATTGGCCGAGATAATCCGGATCTACCGGATATACCAAATCCCACTTTTTCGGAAAAATTTTTCGGAACAAATTTAACAAACCCAGATGATAAAGCATATTTTTCTGAGTATTTTCCACAAAACCGCTTAGAAATATCTTTTTCCGGCCCAGAGATATGATTTTTTGAAAATCGCATTTTTCGTCAATTTTTGCAAAAAATTCAATTTTTAAGGGAAAAATGCGATTTTCAAAAAATCATATCTCTGGGCCGGAAAAAGATATTTCTAAGCGGTTTTGTGGAAAATACTCAAAAAAATATGCTTTATCATTTGGGTTTGTTAAATTTGTTACGAAAAATTTTTTCGAAAAAGTGGGATTTGGTATATCCGGCAGATCCGGATTATCTCGGCCAATTTTCATTTTCATGAAAAATGCAGAAACATGTCAACTGAGATACGAATAGAGCTTTCGATTGGTATATAGAACGTATTTTTTGAATGAAAAATTAAGAATTAAGAAAAAATTTTCTAGCGCTTCCATACTTTTTTCCACGACTGTATATGTTTGTCTCAAAATTATCAAAATATATTCGAAATTGAGAAAAATTTATTAGGAAGAAAAATTTTATTAGAAAATCATATAAAATTTTTTTTAAATAAAAAGTTTCGCCGAAAGAATATTTTTTACGGACTTTTAAATGAATTACATATTTCCTTCCAAAATTTATTTTTATTGAAGAAAAGAGAATGTCTGGAGAAAGTAAAAAGTACATATGGCATGTTAAAAGATATATAGAATTTAACTAAACAATTTATTTTTTGGCAGAAAAAAAAAGGGGGAAAGTTTATATATCGGAAATAGTAAAAGTTAAAAGAAGGAAATAAAAAATATTTAAGTAAATAAAATATCAATTCAAAATTTGTCATAATATTTTTATAAAAAATATTTTTTGACTAGAAACTGAGTTAGCCTTTCCCCTTTTTTCCAATATTTATTAAAAACATTTTCGTATTGAATAAATTAAAAAATATGAGAAGGATAAATATGCGTGGTATAATAAAAATTGTTGCTTTTAAAGAGAGAAAAAGATTTAATAAATATTTATGTACTTTTACTTTTCGAATAGGCAATTTTGTTTGAAAATTGTTTTTCTTTTTTATTTAATCTTTTAAATTAAAAAAATATTTAAAAAAGTGGATATAATTACATTTTATGTTTGGAAGAAATAAGTTTATAATTTAAGCCTTTTAAAAAAAGAAAAACATAGCAAAGCTTTTCAAGAGTTATTTAATAAACAAAAAAATTTTTAAATTTAGCAAAAATATACTTTAAATATTATAAAAAAATATTAAATTAAAATAAATTAAATTCTAAAATATTAATTTTAAATTTAAAAAAGGAAAAGAAAAATTAATTGTATTTTTAGGGGAATTTAGTAAATAAAATATTTTGGAATTTTCCTTTAAAAATAAAAATGTGAGAATTAAAAAACTTAAATAAAAACACTTTTCATTAATAAAAATTTTTAGCAATAAAATTACCTAATTTTCTACTAATTAATTTGTAAATTAAAATATAAAATAATAAAAAAGGAAAAGTTTAAAATATCTCAATTACTCAACTCAATTAATCCCTCAGGAAAAAAGGATTATTTAATAATTTAACATTCAAAATAAATTAATAAAAAAATATTTAAACTGTAAAATAAGCGTGACAAATTGTGTAGAATAAAAATAATTTTAAAATAAAAATTTTTCAAAATTTTAAGAATATTTGAAGGGAATGAAAAATAAAATAAATACTAAACTGAATTTTAAAAAATATAAAGATGACATTTGTTTTTTCATTTATTAATACCAAAAAAGAAAGAATTGTTTATTTACTTTTAAATAGCTTAATCAAGCAAATATTTTAAGAAAATATTTTTTTACAAAAAAATATTTTTTTTGCTGTGTGGGCTTTAAATAAATAAAAAAATATTTCTTTTAATAAATAAATGCTTAATTAAAAATTTAAAGGGTAAAGAATATTTTTTTTGTAAATTATTTTTTATATGGCATTTTAAATAAATGAAGTTTAAAATAATTAAAAATTAAATGATGTTCTTTAGACAATTACTTTTTTCTTCAAAAATTAATTAATTAACTACATATATAAAATAATTCATTTTTACAAAGTCTATTTAAACAAGTAATTTATCTTGTTTTTGTTTTTTAGTAGAAAAAAGGCTATTTTTGACAGTCAAATAAATTATTTATTAAATTTTGGTAGTAATATGTGTTATTATTGCTTAAATATATTATAAGTATATAATAGATTAATATTATTTTAATTTAATATTTTCAAAGAAAAAAGTAATTGATATAAAATATACCTATATCTTTATTTTGTTAACTTAACAAAATAGTTTTGATAATAAAAGGCATTTAAAGGAAGATATTTGGACTATATGCAAGAAACGAAAAGGGAATAATGATAGATAACATACATAATAAGTGATATGTTTTTAGATCCAAATCAAATTTTATTGTGCATTGTGAAAAATGGGATGAATGGAGATCGTAAAACTATCTAAATCAAATATTTTTACCTCAAATATTTATCTAGAGCTAAAATAATGTAAAAATTTCAGTGATTTTTAACTAATAATTTTTAAACTTTAATTTAAAAATAATTTAATATTTAAATTACTCAAAAATTTATTTATAATAAAATTTCCAACAAAAATATATTTACATAATCCTTGTAAAATTTAAATCAAATAAATGTAATAAAAAAAGAATAAAACATCAAAATAATTTTTTGTGGTTCCGGATTTTCTATTTTAGTTAGGGACGTGTTGAGGGAAGTGATTTTAACTAGAAAAGGAATTATTATTTTTGAATAAATTTTAAATATTTTAATTTGAAATAAATAATTGTCTAGATTTTGTAGCAATTTTTTGAAAACAGTAATTTATTTTCATTCTCTCAATAAAAAAATTTTTGAAATTTTAAAATCTTTGACTAATTATTTTAAGAATGTGGCTCTTAATAATTAAGCTTTTTTAATTAATTAAAACTTTTAACAAAATTTATAAATGAAAATTTATGACGGAATTTTGTATATTTTATAGCGATTAAAAAATCGACTACAGTCAGACATAGTGGGCCCATTAATTTTGGTGGTGGAATTTAAACGACAAAGGAAAGTAAAAATATTATATATTTTTTTAAATATTTTTTGAAGAATTTATATTTATTTTGAATAAAAAAATAATAAAAAAAATATTTTGGGCACAAACGGTTGATAAAAGGAGATGAATCTTTTTTGTTAAAAAAGATGGGCATTACACAGAAAAAGCTTTAAAATGTAAAGAGAAGAAAAAGTAAAAGTGGGGGCTTTTAATGTGCTTTTCCTTTTCATTTAATTCCTTTTATTTGAAGGAGGAAGAGAAGAAGGAGGCTTTATATTCTTGTGTGGTCTTCATTATACATATGTATGGTTATGTAGTTTCGTTAATGAAAAAAAATTTAGAATAATGGACCAATTAAAAGTTAAAAAAAGTTAAAAAAATATTTTTAAAGTCAAAAGTTTTGTTAATTTAGTTTTCAACGAATAAAGAAAAGAAAATTAATTAATTAATTAATTTCTTTTAAATTTATATTTTTTTTAAATATTTTTATTTTTAAATATTTTTCAAAAATATATTCAAAGAGTGGGACGGATATTAGGGGGCTTTATATGATTGTAGGACAATGACTACCCAAACAAATGAGGAAACATTAAAGGAGAGTAACAAAAACAATCTGACGGTATTAAATAATACATAGATATTTTCCTTAAAGATAATATTTAATTTTTAAAAAGTCCGAAATAAAATTAAATTTTAAATGTATATGTAATCTTTTACATTTCTTTTAATTTATTAATTTTGGATAAGGAGAAGAAGGCATAAAAGTATTTAGGAAATTCCATAGTTAAATAAATTTTAAATATAGAATTCTTTCAATTCTTAAAAAAACAAATTGGAAAACTTCCAATAAAAATTAAATTAATTCCAAACAAAATAAATAAATAAAATTTTCGAAAATATTAAAGAAAATAATAAATTTAAAACAAACTTTTAAATAATCTTTTGATATTTATTTTAATTAAAATTTGTTTTTTATTATTTTAAAATCCTTTAAATCTTTTAATAAAAATATTTTGAATAAAAAAAAGTTTTTTTTGAAAAAGATGTTTTAAATTTTCCACGTATAATTTAATTCAAAAAAGGAAAGAAAACAAAACCGGAATAAAGAAAGGAAAAAAAGAAAAGTTATTTTTAGAAAATAAAAATAGTAGAGTATTTATTTTTATTTACTTGAAGAGATTTAAAATTGAAACAAAAGAAAATATGATATATTTATTTATTTATTTATTTTTAAATATAATTCTGCAATTATTTTTATATGAAACTAAAAGTCAAAAATTAAAAGAAGAACCGTCTTAAAAAGAAATATATACCTAATTAATAATTTATTTTAAAACAAAATTTATTTTAATTTTTAAATTTAAAATATACTAAATTTTGATTGATTAAGAATGAGATTTTGAAATTGTTTTGAACGAGGACAAAAGATGGGATTTCTTAGGCCTTGTGAAGAAAGCGGGTATTTTGATAAAATCTCGTTTTCTGAATTTACGAATTTTAGTGTTGTAGGTAGCTAAGAATATCAAGTCTAAGTCACAGCTAAAGAACAAGGACCCAGCTTGTGTTAATAAATGAAAAGATGATACTGATAATAATTCCCTAAATGCTGATTTTCTTTTCTTAATTAACACACAGAGAATAAAAATAATAAAATCATTTTCCAAAAAGAAAGATTTATATTTAATTCGAATT